CCCATTTGTTAAGAATCTTCATTGCAAACACTTTGTCCGAACCTTTCATTTTCACTACGCACACCTCCCCAAATGCTCCTCGTCCAATCACCTTCACTATTTCAAAGTCATCACGTGTAAGACGTAAGCTTTTTAAAGTCGTTGCAACAGGCTTCACTGCGAAAAAACAAGAAAAACAACTGGCATCAGTACAGTTTATTTAATTATTCATAGTCAATTATCCAGTTCAGTTAAATCACCGTCTCCAGGATATGACACTTTCTTGACCACAAAAAACACATGTCTGGAGACATGACATTTCTTATAATGTGGGAAAAACGTTTGTTAGATTTAATCATTTTCCGTGAATCTCCCACTGAATACATAAAAGAGCTACTTACACCAATAGGTTTCACCATATGTTAGCAGTATTTGGAACTACTAACTCAAATACTCTGCTAACACACAATACCAGTTTTCTAAAAAAAAATCACAATGTGCACCTGCAAAATGTGGTGAGTGGTATTACGAGTGGTGTGTACGTGGATACACAAAAACTACTCCCTCAAAAATTATAAGTGCTTCAATGCATAATGTACTTATATTTTTTATATGAATTTCTAATAATTTTTCACTAAGTGCAAGCAATAATTGTGTTAAAATTCTATTATATTTTGAAGAAGTCTTCTATGTAATACACTAAAATTTGATGTTACTGCCAGATGCGCAGGAAAATATCTAATAGCAAAACAGCCAAATCCTCATTACTGTATACTGCAACAATTTTGTGCTTCGGTGATGTTTGAGATGGTCAAACAAAGACAAATGAGCAGAAAGGATACGTAGACTAAGTGATAAAGTAACTTAAAGTCCTAACTGTATTCTCTAAAATTACTATTTCAAACCAATTCTTTACACATAAACATGTCACACAGCTGAGAATTCATGATTTACAACTTACCAAATTCGATAAAGTCGGACACTGTCTTCTCTCTTCGTAAGGAAGAGTTGCAGCATTCGTCATAAAGCACAAGCAGGACGTCTAGGAGGGTTTCAACACTGAAGCTTTGCCCCTGTCCCTGGATAGGCCCACCCAGGAACAGGGCTTCTAGCTGGCGCAAACGCCGTTCTCCTGTCAGATCTAATTATGAGAACAATAATTATTTCCAGTTACATATCCCAGATTTTACACACATTTCAACTATATTAAATTCTGAAACTATATCTGCAGTTAGACTTATGTCTTCCTTTTATGATAACACCTGACTCCAATTTTGGAATCAGATAATTATAAGCTCTGCCCTATATAGAAACAGCACAGAACGAACACTGCTGACATGAACGCTAAAAACAATTCTGAAATTGGTGAATAATCAGTCAAGCCCAATAGAGAGTTTAAAAAGTTTCAATACATTTCTTGCCTTGTGAAATTCCCAGCCCAGAGTCCTGCTGTGCTGCTGGTTTTGCCACTGTTTCAGACATTGGAGGGCATTACAGCACTGCATATGGCCAATCAATACCACTTGAAAAACTGTGTGTGATAAAAGGCCAAAAGCTAAATACATGCAGAGAATTATAAAAAACCTGGTTCATTTTTTCGTTCGAAATCTGCAAGAGAAAGAATCAGATTCAGTCACATTTAACAACAACTGCAAAATATTTGCTTATAATGAAAAATGCCATTATGTAAGTTACACACAAATGAATGGTGTTCATATATATATGTCTTACAAGATTATTATAGAAGAGATCCTTGATTGTAAATAAATAACAAAAAAATAAATAAAGCAAACTATGGGTACTCAAAAAAACTTTATTCATATTATATTATATAGATCACTGGACCTAATTTAATATCTATGGTAATAACAAAATATCATGATCGTTGAATTTAAATAATCAACATTACAATTATGCACCTTGAGAAATGGCATAATTACTAAAATAACATTAAAAGTAGCAGTTTTTAATAAAGATTCTGATGAATTCTGAACGCAATAAAATGTCAAAATCACCAAACGATGTATGTGAACATCATTAATCATAATTTAGGTGTAACATTTGTATGGTTTTTACAAAATACATTTTGAATTCAACATCTACAATGTACATGTTCATATATACTCATATCGTTTTGTGCTATCACTGCGTTTATTTGGCTAACCTATCACTCTTTAAATACTACAGCCCGAAGACAGCAATCAGCTGACAACTCCTTCCACCAATAAGACACCCATATTTACAAACACAAAAAGTAAATACCAACTAGCCATACCGATCAAATAATAGTATTGTTACTGAAGCCACTTCATCGCAACAAAACATTACTTCCAACCCCCTGACCCCTGGCCTCACACTAAAATATGGCTGCCACACCTAGCTGACACAGGAATTCTGGGAGTGTGAGAATTATAGTACCTATAAACAATATTGCCAGATCGGCTTAAAAGTTATATTAGAATTCCCATCTGCTTATGTCATTATTAAATCACAACATAATGCTCATTGCTCGATATAAACAGATATACTTTCGTGTACAATTCAATTAACATTTTAGGCACGCAGGAAGTATCAGCTGTCTGCTGACGAAGTGTTTAAATCAACAATTATCCTTTCCAAGCCTTAATTTATATCAGAATGAAATACATAACACAAGACAACTAAAATTACATACAAACGACGTTGTACTCAAACAACAGAAGTCAATCAATAAACACACATGAGTTCACTTAGTTGTCAATTCTTCGCACCTAAAATGGACCAGGAAACTGTATATTTGGCAACCCTGACTCCTTACTTTCAACCCGGATGCCAAGATCACTAACGGATCAAAGTAGAGGAAATGCTCTCATAAATATAACAGTAATAATACATTCACATGACGCATTCTTCACTCGTTTAATATATTCCATGAAAATTCTATAACATATCATTTAAATTTCTCTATAGTCAGTTATTTGTCAAAATTCTATAATGTCAAAGTTGGCTTTGTTTTGATGACAGCGTCATATTGCTCATTATGGTGGTTTTGTGTGGATGTATGAGAAAATACATTATTAATCGTATGTGTTGATTAAACGTTATGTTCTAATGAGCCATATTTCAAGGTGGACATTATTTTATACTCATAATCAACACTACTGCCATTGAAGTGAAAGTTTATGTAAAGGGGACGTATATTGTGTAGTTAAATCTCGAGTCTGGCCAGCGAAGTTTACCCGCCCTGTGTGTCGTTCATCGAAAGCCAAAGTAGGCCTATGGCCCTAGGTAAACTCAATATACTTTTTTAAAGAATTTTTAGGTTTCCATACACGTTTTGCATTCAACAGTGTGATATAGGCAGTAGTTAACAAATGTAAATATGTTTCTAATGTTCTCTTTTTTCTTCTAGTTGCTGTAGCGAGGAAGAAGTATCATAACAGACAAAACTACTGGTTTTGGAGTGAGTGTTGCAGCAGTGTTCCATGGGTCTAGAAGCATCTTACATGGAACTCCTGTTGTGGTGTGAACCATTGTTTCTTCATTCGTCCAGGAACTTAACATGACCAATATTTCAGTCCTCATCAGTCAGTAAAGTAGTGTTCATGGTACTTAAAAGCTACAAAATTGTACCACTGGTACCAGTCATGGATGAACCAGTTAAGAAGAAGCAGAAAGTGAGTGAGGATGGAGTTGATATGGATGGTGGAGTAGATGAGGTGGACCAGGAATTGCTGGTGATACAGCAGCACCTGTTAAATCAGTGTTTGTGTCCTGTATCAGAAAGTACCTTACGGAAACCTTTTCAAGGTGTGAGACTGGTGTCAAGTGGTCAGGGAGACTATCATGCACCAACCCTTGCAGAATGGAGTCGTGATAATATTTTGCTTTTTATCAGCACCCTACAACTCCTGTGTGAAGTAGCCATCAAACAGAATGCTAAAGGATTAATGTGTACACGTATCGTTGAAATATGTGACACACTTGTGAGAAATGAATATGGCCTCATTGAACAACTTATAGAACTCTCCTCCCATTCTGATCCTTTCATTTGTTTCGCATCAAGTAGAGCACTGTCAGCATTTCTGATACTTTCCAAATCTCATGTTAATCCTAGCTGGTTAGAAAGTTTGACAGAAAATGCCCTTGTAACTACTCACCCACAGAAAATCTCATTTTCCCTAGAAGTTATAAAGCATGTTGTAGAATGGAAGGATTTAGATACACATCCGTTAGAAGACAGTAATGATGACAGACCTCCTCACTCATGTGTTGTTGTTAGTGTATCCGATCCTGAAAGTTTAGACACGAGTCAAGTGAAGTGTCTTTGTATCAAAGCACTTGAAGGGAAGTGGCCAGCTGTTGTTAAGAAGTTTGATGGTATGATTGGTACTTACTCAAATGAACATGAATCTACCATCGTGACTTTTCTAAGTCTTTGGGAGGCAATAATCTCTGTAAAAGCAAATCTCTCAGTTGTTGATACAAAGCCATTTTATGCACATCTTGACAATTTTGTAGTGCTTCTTAATTCTTCCGTTCCTCCTGGCATCTGGAAGAACTTGTTGGGATTGTTTAATGAAGTTTTGTGTTATGGCAGCACTCTGGCACTCCAAGATGTACTGGCAGAAGAACCTTGTGGTCTGGCTCATTTAGTAGTGCGAAGTGTGAAGGACTGGCATCTTCTGGACACCCTTCCGTACAGAGGCGGTAGTGGCAGGTTTGGGGGTGGTGCAGGGGATGGAGATCGTCCACTTCTTCAGAAGATGGCATTACTTGTTTTGAAAAGTGTGGCAGTGACAGTGAAAGAGACTCGATGTGACAGCTCCAGTGACAGTTCTCTAGGATCAGAAGCAGATGATGTAGACGCTGATATGGCCATGATTGAACGTAGCATCCGCGAGGTTCTCCGTCAGCTTGATAACTGTGTTAAGACCTTGTTGCCTTTTCATCCTGAAACTCCCTTGGCGCAGTGGGTGGTTCAGTTATTTGCCGATCAGGACGATGCTCTCATAGAAGGAATGGTTTGCTGTTTGGACGTGGCCGTAGGATTGTTCTATCGGAACTCGGCGCAGCTGGATCTGAGGCACATGTTAAGTCCATCTACAACTTTCGTACAATTCCTGAGAGCTGTATCTCATGATCCGGATGTCCTGTTGGATCTCCTTGTTTCAAATGAGACCTGCTTTCTTCTGTACCTGTTACGGTTGCTGAAATTTGTGCGTCGAAATTGGGGAGAGTTTGTGACTTGCTGTGGCCGTGAATTGGATGACACCATGTCTGTGTTAATAAGATTACGTCTTGCCATAGATAGACTTGTTTCCAAGGCGCT